GTGATGCGGAGGAGGAGGATGAATAATGAGGAGGAGGAGGAGGAGAGAGAGAAGCGGAGCTCTAGGAGGAGGAGGAGGAGGGAGGAGTCCTTGCGAGGGGACTATGGGGGGGAAGGGGGGAGGAGGAGGAAAGGAGGCAGCGATGGAGGAGTCGGAAGGGTTCGAGGACGGAGGAGGAAGGATGAGGATGATGAGGACTATGGAGGAGTATATTATGATGACGAGATGAGAGGGCGAGTGAGAGCGGAGAGGATGGGGATGAGGAGGGGAGGAAGGCGGATAGGAGGAGGAGGGGCTGGATGAGTAGGATGCGTCGGAGGGAGGGGGGAGATGGAGGAGGAGGATGATAGAAGCGAGGGGGGAGGAGGAGAACGCCCCACGCAACGCGCGTGCGGCTTACGTACGGGGGGGGGCCGGCGGGGAGCGCGCCCGCCCTTTTCCCTTTGCTTCGCGGCTCGGGATCGCCCACCGGAAAAACATCATCAAGACATGTTTTTCGATGCCGACCCCGGAATCCATGGGGCAGTCTCCTCTAGGGTCTCCTCCGCTTCGAGGACCCCTTCCGGGAGCGGGGGATCCTCCTCGACGGACAAAAATCCGACATCCCCGAGGGGTGGGACGGGCTCGGCAGCCATCGGCCCGTCGCACGTCGTCGTCCCCCAACCCTCTGGGTTGTGGACGACGGCTACGTGCGGTGGGCCGCTCTGGCTGCCGAGCGGCGCGCGGGGCCCCCCCCCGCCGCCCGCGCCAGCGGCAATGCCGCTGGAGATGGCGGCGCAGAGCGCGGCGCAGGCGAACTTCGCCTGCGCCGCGCTCAGCCGCGCCAGGCTGCCGCTCGACGCGGCGGCCCTGCAGGGCCGCCGCGTCGAGCGGCCGTCTTGGGCTGAGGCGCGCCCGTCGCCGCCTCCGCCGCCGCCTCCCCCTTTCCTCCTCCTCCTCATCCTCCTCCCCGTCCTCCTCCTACTCCTCCTCCTCCTCGACATCTCCTCCTCCTTCTCCTCCTCCTCCTCCTCCTTCTCCTCCTCCTCCTCTCTCCCCCTCCTCTTCCTCCTCCTCCTCCTCCTCCTCCTCCTCTTCCTCCTCCTCCTTCTCCTTCTCAGAGTCCGCTGACCACTTAGTAAGTCCGCTAACCACTTAGTAAGTAAGCTAGCTAGCGGACTTACTATGTGGTTACTAAGTGGTTAGTAAGTGGTTACTGGGTGGTTACTAAGTGGCAGCTAAGTGGTTACTAAGTGGTTAGCAAGTGGTAGCTAGAGTGGGGACTTAGGGAGCTAACCTCTACTAGAGACTTAGCAAGGTTAGCCTCCAGCTATAAGTGGTTAGTATCTCCTACTAACCAGTTGTAGCTGGTTATACAACTTACATCCGACTTACAACACTTATAACCTACTTACAACTCACTTGTACGTACATACTAAATCCTCTAACCCCTTAGTATCCGCGCTAACCACCTAGCAGCCGCCGCGGCCATCCAAGTGCCGTTTCCGGGGCCCACAAAGGCCCACGCCCAGCAATTGCGCACGGCCATGCAGGAGAGCCCGGAATCGAATCGACCAGTCGGATCGGCGATCGACATGAATCGGACAGGCGGAACTCGGCGGCCGGGTCGGGAGGAGTCGAATCGGCGGAGATCGGCAGGCTAGTAGGCCTCCAATAGGAAATCGGAGCCCAAATCGGAATCCGAGGCGAGGCGAGGCGCGCTGTGTCCGCCGGCCGGCCGGCGGGCCCCTTAGGAGCAGCGCGGGTGGGCCGGAGCCCTCAGAGGACGTGTCGGGGGCAGGAGTCGGAGCCGGAGCCGGAGTCGGAGAGAGGAGAGGTGTGAACAGGAGTCGGAGAGAAGACCAGAGTGTGGGAAGAACACGTAAAGCTGGAGTCGGGGCAGCACTCCAGATCCGATAGGTTGCATCCGGAATCCGAAGCCGACTCGAATCGGAATCGGGGTCCATCCAAATCGAGTCGAAGCGAGTCGGATCGGAGGAATCGAGGAGCGCCCTGCAGATCTGCCGCCCCCTGCCGGTCTCTCCGCGGGGTGCCCGGCGCGCCGAACGTGCGAAGGGGCCCCGGGACACACAGACAGATAGGCACCAATGACCAGACTCCCCACAGTTCCCCATATGCTCTGGGTTTCTGTCTCCCCCCCCCCCACTTCCCCGATTTTCCCAGATTTTCGGGGCAATCGGCGATTCATCGTGTCTGTGTGTTCTTTCCCCTCCTGAGAACTGTTGGGCGCCTTTATTCCTTAGGAGGTTCCCAACGACCTTGAAAACCAGCCGAAGCCCTACATGCCGCCACGCTGGTTCCGGGCAGGCTACGCGGTCTGGCGGAAGGGGGCGAGGAGGGGAGAAGCAGGCAGACGACGACGAACGCCCAGGCGGGAGGCCAGGGCCGGCGGGGCGGGCGGGCGGGCGGGCAGAAGACGGGCCAGGCGGAAACAACAGGCAGGGAGCAGGAGGAAAGGAAAGGGAGGGAAGCAACGAGCAGAAGCGGAGGGAAAGCAGGGGGGAGGAGGAGGAGGAGGAGGAGGAGGAGGAGGAGGAGGAGGAGGAGGAGGAGGAGGAGGAAGAGGAGGAGGAGGAGGAGGAGGAGGAGGAGGAGGAGGAGGTTCCCCAAAGGGGTCTCGGCCGCTCGCCCGGGCCACCCGGGGAGGCGCGCGAAGCGGAATTTTCCAGTGGTCTCTCCCCCCCCCAAGAGGGCCTCAAAGACGGCCAAGATGGCCCCAACTATACGCAGAAGTCATCTACACACCCTGCGAAATGCTTAAGAAATCATGGGTTAAGAAATTCATAGTCTCAGAACTTGAATAAAAACCCAACATGTCCATTAAAATCTTAAGAGTTACACTGGAACGTTAAGAATAGTCGAGACTCTGGCCGAAAACTTGAGTCTTCTTAAGCATCGCCTAAGGTGTACACCACCACCGTGCCAGGCCAGGGCCACCCTGGGCCCTAGGATGGTGGATACGCCCTCCTGGCCGAGCCAGAAGGGTCTGTACACCGTCCTGCGGCCCAGGATGGCCCTGGTCTGGCACGGTGGTGGTGTATAGATGACTTCGTCGGAAACCAACCCAAGATGGCCTCAAAGACGGCCAAGGTGGCCCCAACAAGCCCACAGTCGGGCAGCTGAACTAAGGAACGCCAAATCGGGAACGAAGCCCCTCTGCGGCTTCAAAAGAGCCTGGGTGCACGAGAAGGGCTAGGGGAACAACCACGGAAGGACGCAAGGAACATCGAGCTCCTTTCGAATCCAAACTGTTCCTTACTTCAGCGACGTGGCCGTAAGATTGCGTCAAGATTAGGATGTCTCCAACATGGCCGAGGATGCACGCACGACGGCCCAAGACGCCCACGAGGACTCCCCAGAAGGCTCGAAGAGGAGCCCCATCATTGATGTTCTGGTGTGTTTTCAATGATCTTAGCGGTCTCGCCTTCTTGGACTTCCGACACTCCAAGACGGCCCCATTGGCCCCCAACACGGCCCCCTTGGCCCCCGAGATTCCTCCAAGGCGGCCAAAGAGGCTGCCAAAATGCCGCCAAGAGCCCTGCAAGACGACTGCCAAAGAGGCTCTCAAGACGGCCCAGGAGGCCCCCAAGACGGCCCCATAGACCTCCAGGGCGGAACTAAAGCTCCCAAAGAGGGCCCTGCGACTGCCCAGAGAGGGCTCCGAGACGGCCTCCAGAGGCCAAGCGTTCCTGTAGATGCCCCCAAGAAGTTCCCAAGAGGCCCCTACGAGGACCCAGGAAGCTTCCAAGAGGCCCCCAAGAGGCCCACAAAATGCCCCACTCAGGCCCCCAAGAGACTCCCACCAGCCCCAGGAGGACCCAAAAGGTCCTCCAGAGATCTCCTCTTCTCCCTCCTCTTTCTCCTCCTCCTTGTCCTCATTCTCGTCCCTCTGGCCGCTCCTCCTCCTTGCTCTTCCTCTCCAAAGTTTTGCCCCAAGGGGCTCCACAACGGATGAGGAAGCACACATGGTCCACTAGCTTGGCCAGGCTTCGGCCCAACGCTGGGCCACATGGGCTTTTCCAAAAGGCAGGGGCGGCGGTGATTCGCCGCAAGCGTCTTCGATCCGCCGCCCACCGTGTTTACCACAGGGGTGCTTGGCGTGCCGAGTTTCTGTTTTCGGTGTTGAACATTGTTTGAGCATGTTCGAACATTCTCGACGACCTTCGGCTTGACCCGCTGGCCACACGGAACGAGTCGGGCGGAGCTTCATGCCCGGAACATCGGGCCCCAGGCTTCACGCAGGCCCAGATAGCGCTTCAGGTCCAGATAGCCTCAAGCTGGCCCGAGGACCTCCAGGAAACTAAAATTATGAATGGCCCGGTGGTTTATCGATGATTCTAGCGGTCTCGCCTTTTCGGCTGCCGACGCTCCAAGACAGCCGCAGTGTCCCCCAACACGGCCCAAGAGGCCCGCAGGACGGCCGAAGAGGGCCCCAAGACGGCCCAAGAGGCCCCCTAAGACCGCCCCATAGACCTCCAAGGCGGACCCACATCGCCCCAAATATGCACCCACAACTGTCCAGAGAGGCCCCCAGGACAACCTCCGAAGGCCAAGAGTATCCCTCAGAGGCTCCCAGAAACACCCAAGAGGTCGCCGAGACGCCCCAGGAAGCCCCCAATAGGAGGCTCCAGGAGGCCCTTCAGCGGCCCCCAAGGAGGCTCCCAAGAGGCCCCCAAGAAGCCACAAAACGGCCTCAAGAGGCCTCCTCCTCCTCCTCCTCCTCCTCAGTCCCTCCTCCTCCTCAGTCTCATCCTCTCTTCCTGTTTCCCTCCCAGGTGTCCCCAAGGGGTCCCACCACGGCCAGGAGAGAACGCCGCGGCCCGACGCCTGGCCGCGCGGGGCGCTTCCCAAAAAGGGGAGGGGGCGGCGGTGGCCCGCCGCCGGCGCCCTCGAGAGAGGAACACAGGCACGTGTGAAGGGGGCCCTGGGACACACAAATACATACACACCAATAAAAGGGTCCCCCATATTTTCCCATATTTTCTGGGTTTCTCTCTTCCCCCCCCCACTTCCCAGATTTTCCCCTATGTTCCTGGGAATCGACGATTCATTGTGTCTGTGTGTCTCTTCCCCTCCTGAACATGGCTGCGCGCGCCCGGTCAGCCTCGGCGCACGCGGGCCCCGCGCACGCGCGGCTGGCACTGCGCTCGGCCCGGCGGCGGGCCCGTGCAGAGGCCCTGCCTCGGCCGCGCCGCGGGGCCGCTGGCGGCAGGCACCGGGGCGCGCGCCCGAGCGTCGCGGGGCCCGTCGTCGTGGCCGTCGCCCTCGTGCGCGGCCTCGCACTTCCAGGCTGGCTGCCCGACCGGCTGCAGGAGGCGCAGCTGGGCCGGCACGACGTCGCAGGGGCGGCTGCCCAGCAGCCTCACCTCCCAGGGCTGGATCACCACGTCCGCCGCGATGCAGCCCGCCGCGCCCGTTCCGCCGCAGCCGACCGCGCCGACAATGGCGCACCTTTTGTAGCAGCTCATGGGAGCCTCCCATGTGCTCTTGCTGGTTCTTGCGGACGCACGCTAGCCGACGCGAATCCACGCTGCCCGACGCTAGTAGACAATAAATCGACGCCGATCCACGCTGAATCGCAGCTCTAATCGGTTACCATGCGCCAGCGCACGCTAATGCACTCCAAAGCCGGGATTGCGAGGGCATACAAGGCTCCCATGAGTGGCTACCGAACGTCTTATCGGGCGAATGAAGGGGGATGAGGCTCCCATTGCTGGCCCCCAGGAGGGGGGATGAGGCCAAATCTGCTCAAAATCCGTCCCCAGACCCCTCCCGGGGTCCATCTCGTGCAGTTTCTCATCCCAGATTCGTTTCTAGTGGCTCCCGGCAAACACAAATGCCTCAAGCATTCCTCGTGCAAGTTTCGGTGTCGTGCGTTCGATTTGCTGTTCGTAGGATTGGGGGATGTACAGAACCCCCTTTAGTAAAACGTAGTTTAGTGAAAACGACCTCGGGCCCAAACCTGGCGGGCGCAAGCCTGGAAAATGACGGCGGCGGCACCCTCTCAAGAACCGAAAACGGACAATTCACTAATCGACGTGTCAGGGTAGGAGGTCTGTCCATCCCCGACGGATGCTCCGAGATGCTCCTCCATGGTCCGGATTTATCTGGCGCTGGCCTCGCCGAACAAATATGCGCACCCGTCTCCGAGCGATGCCAAAAGGCGGCTCGTACTTTGGGAAGCCAAACCGTACCGATACTGCTAACCAGCCTCGAACTTATCCCCTATCCCTAAGATGGGCGAGCAAGAAGCGAGGACAACATTAGGGATAGGCCCTCAGAAACTGAGGGAATCCTTAAGATCGGCATCGAGGTGAGGTGATGTCAAACATAGGGATAGGGATATGTTTCAAACTGGTAAACTGCTACTCCCCGGACCTCTCCCAGGGTGCGTCCTGACCAGGATCTTGAGGCGAAGAAAGCGGTGGCGACGAGGACCCCCCAGGAGAACTCAAAAGGGAAAAGCGGGGAAATCATAGCGGTATGGGTGCCTCTTCCTCCTTTGAAAAACGCACAAGGTCATGTCGCCAGCATTCGCCAGCCTCGTCTTACTTCCGCTGGCCCTCCGCCGGCCCTCCGCCGCCGTCCCCCGAGGAAGAGATGACAAGCCCTTTCGTCCTCGAAGGCGAGGCCCCTCTTGGCAACGCTCCCAAACTGCGCACCCGATCATGTCGCCCGCGCTGAAGTCGCCCAGATCCCGAAACCCGGACAGCTGGTCTATGCCCTGGCAGGCGGCGGCGCCCCCGGCCGTGAAGGCCGCGCCCGCCACGGCGGAGAACGCCACGTACGCGGGCGCGGCGAGCCCCGAGGATGCCAGGCCTCAGTTTCGGGGAGACGTCAGACGCGGGCTCGGGGGACTTCCGGTAGCAAATCATGCGACCCAGACCCCCTCGAATCATGAAAACAGAGCGGCGGGAGGCTTTTCACTATGCTCGGCCCCTGGGGGCCCCTACCGGGCCTCGGGACCGCGAAGAAACGATTCAGGATGAAAAACCGGTCCCGGGGACTGGGTCGAGACTTCTGGGGGTCGACGTCATGAAAACATCGTGACGCCGGGAGCCTTTGGTTCGGGGAGACGTGAGACTCGGGTTCGGGGGACTTTCGGTGGCAAATCATGAGAGCCTGGTCTACCTTCTTAGTTCCGTCTTCAGCGTCGAGAAGTGCCTGGGAGTCGATTCGTCAGCACCGATGCAGCTTCGGTTAGCGTCGAGTAGCGTCGACTTAGCGTCGGTGAGCGTCGATGTAGCTTCGGCTAGCGTCGACTTAGCATCGATGAGCGTAGATGTAGCGTCGATTCGCAAACGCCGACAAGATGGTATGGGAGGCTCCCATTATTTGCGAGCGAAGGGGACTCGAGTTGGCCTGACGGGGCAATCATGAAGATGATGAGGCCAAAACTTGAAATTTGGCGCGAACTCCCGCTGCAAGTATCCCGCGAAAACTGGGCCTTCAAAATCCGGGACGCGCTCATCAAAAAGCGTCGGCAAACCCGAGTTCTGGCGCTCTCGAATCTTACGTTTTCCCCATGGTTGATGGTGAATAAAGCTGGGGGGAGATGCTTTCGATACCTTTATACTTTTCGCTGCTCGACCAATCCAAACGGAACGAAAACACGGCCCCCAACGCGTAACGAAAAGGAAAAAAAAACGGAGCTGGACCGAAAGCGGCGTGAACGAGAATCCCCCAAAAACGAAAACGACCAACAATCTTGAGCTGCGGGGCGAGAGCCAACCTTTTCCGCCAAAAGCCAGGCGGGCTGCGCACAGCTTTTTAATTAGGGAGACAGGGCACAGGAAGGGACCACGACAAACCGCTGACCCCCCAAACGGACGACAACAGTACATCTCCAGAACGGAAGCAAACGCTCCCGGCGCGTGTGTCTAGAGGCCTCCTAGATGGGGTCGGAGTAGATGGGGTCGGAGGATCGCGCCGCATCGCCGATACATCGGCGATGCATCGGCGATGCATCGGCGATGCATTGGCGATGCACTGGCGATGCATCGTCGACGTGGGCGATCATCGGCGACGCCAGCGCGGAGAAACTCGGGCTCCGCATCGAGCCGCATCGGCGATGCATCGGCGATGCGGCGCGATCCTCCGACCCCATCTACTCCGACCCCATCTGGGAGGCCTAGAGTGCCCTCACCTGAGCGCCGGACACACCAGCAGGCCGCCGCTGGCCATGCTGACGCTCACGAGGGCCTTCGGCAGCGCCCCGGGCTCCGTGACCTCGCGGGCGAGGCGCGCGCGCCGCGGCAACAAACGGGGCCATGCGCGCGGAGGCGGCGGCCCTCCCAGGAGATGGCACGGGGGGGCGCCCCCGAGGAGGCTCGGCGGGGGCCCCTCGGAGAGCGCCCTCGGCACCAGGCGGCGGGGCGGCCGAGAGGCCCCCGCCGGGCCCCACATCTCGCGCCACGCCCCTCGCGCGCCACGCCCAGGATCGGGGATGGACAGACCCCCCTTTAGTAAAACGTGGTTTAGTGAAAACGACCTGAGGCCCAGACCTGGCGGCCGCAGGCCTGGAAAATGACGGCCACGGCGCCCCCTCGAGAACCGAACACGGACCATTCACGAATCGACGTGTCACTGTTGGGGGTCCTGTCCACCTCCGACAGGAGAGCCATGGGATCGAATCGAGACGTCGGATCGGCGGTCGAGGGGGCCCCTCGGAGCGCGCCTCGTGCCAGGCGGCGGGGCGGCCGAGAGGCCCCCGGCCTGGCCCCACAGCTCGCGCCACGCCCCTCGGAGCGCCACGCCCTGGAGAGCCACGCCATGGGATCGAATCGAGACGTCGGCTCGGCGGTCGAGATGGATCGCCTCGGCGGAGAAAGCGGCAGCAGCCGAGTCGGGACACGACGTCGGAGCTGTGCAGACCTCGGCAGGCCCGTGGGCCTCCATCGCGAGAGCTCGGAGAGCCCACACCGGTCGGGAGCGGCCTCCCCCTCCCCCTCCCCATCTTCCTCCTGCTCCTCCTCCTCCTCCTCCTCCTCCTCCCCCTCCTCCTCCTCCTCCTCCCCCTCCCCTCCTCCTCCTCCCCCTCCCCTCCTCCCCCTCCTCCTCCTCCTCCCCTCCCCTCCCCTTCCAAGAGGGGGGTGCAAATCATGACCGGGCATCATGTGCGCGGCCTAGCGGGGGGGCAGGGACGTAACGAAACAAGAAGAGGCGCCATGAAACCTGGGGGAATATCGTGGCCCCCGCCACGATATCCACCCCCCCCCTTAGTCCTCCCCCCCCTCTTTGCCGCCCCCGAATCGACACTGCAAGTCGAATCGGAACCCGCATCGGACTCCATCGACAACGAACCGACTCGGAGGAGTCGAGATGAGCCCTGCACGCCTCTCTTGCGCCTCCGAAGGCTCGCGGGCCTCTCCGGGCGCCTCGTGTTGAGCAGGGACCGACCGTCCCGGCATTCCTATAGTCCTACCACGAAGTGTTCTTAGAAACCCAAAACTGTGCTAAGAACAAAAAACAAGTTCTTAGAACTTTAACCCGATGCGTTAAACCAAGACAGTCTCAATCAGAGATGTTCTGAGAATATCTCGTGCAAACCACAAAAGGTTCTTAGAACATTTTTTGGTGTGCCTATAGTCGGGTCGGGCGCAAGGGGGGATAGCAAAGGGCGGGGGGGTGAGAATCAGCTCACGTGGCTGATTTCCCCAGCGCCTCCCGGCGCCGGGAGGCGCCCATGCATCGAGGAATGGGCCCGGCGGCGGTGCCGCAACCAGCTGCACGCAGCAAATTTCGTCGTACCCCCCCTAAAACGACGCGAAAATCGGGATAAAATCGGATCGGGATAACTCGAAATCTCTGAGAATCGGCGGGTTCGGAGGATGTATTGGGCGCCGCGGCCGCTCCAGAGCGTTCCGGAACGAACATGAGAGCGCTCCGGAACGCTCTGGAGCGATTTATCCCGATCCTAGCCCTGTTTTACCCCCCTTTCCCAATCCCCCCCCTTTCGTCCGGCCCGATGTGCGCGAGCCGGGACGCTTCGCCACCGCTTGATCGTGCGAGGCAGCCGCGCCTCCGAAGGCTCGCGGGCCTCTCCGGGCGCCTCGTGCGAGGCAGCCGGGCCCCTCCGCCCGCCCCCGCCATGAGCCTGCTCTCGGAAGGGGCCGCCCCTCTCGCAGGCACCGGCCCGGGCAGAGGCCCCGCCCACGAGGCGTCCTGTGATCCCCCCCCCCGCCGCGCGTGAGGGGCTACGCGCAGGTCGGAAGAAGTAGGTAAAAACATGAAGTAGGAAGGTGGATCAAGTAGATTGGGTACAGGACCTCCCAGAGAATGGCAAGACACAGCAAACGCATATCGATTCTTGAAGTAGGAAGGCGCTGGAAGTAGATTGGGATCTGGGAAGCCAGAAATACCTACTTTCAACGACCGGCGTGGACGATGGAGGGGGGGGAAGCAGGCATAGGGTCAGGTCGGGCATGTCCCCCTACAGGACGAAAATCGGGGAAAGAAAAAACAAAAAACACATTCAAACATATAACCAAACATAATTGCAACATCGTCCCCAGGTTCGATTTGTTTGAACTCTTCTTGCATTATCCTCCTGTGGAGGGACCTGCCCGACTGAAGCATGGGGGGGAATATCGACCGGGTGGGCGATACATCGCCGATAGATTGGCGATGGGCCCCGGATAGTGAGTCCGCACGTTCCCAGGCAAGTCGGGGCTATCGGGCCCCTGTCGGCGATCAATAGGCGGTTGGGGGTCGACGCGTCCCCTAGGCCTATCCCCCCCCACTTATCGTTGCCCCCCTGGCCCGGCTCCATCCTGGGCGGTGGTAAAGGCTGCGCCAGGGCGTGGCCACGGTGACCCTTCAGACGGGACCCACAAAAAAAGCGACCTCGTTGTGCCACTCCACCGTCCACCGCTTGCGGGCGAACTCGACGTCGCCGCCCCCGATCAGGTCGCCCAGCGACTTCCCGCACTTTGACAGCTCCTCGCAGAGTGGCCAAAACCAGCACAGAGCGAGAAGCCTCCGGAGGCCGCGCGGGACTCTTGGGTCGGCGTCACGCCCCCCGCGCCTGGGGGGGCGGCGCTGGAGGCGCCGCGCCTGGGTGGCGAAGGAGGCGACAACAGACCTCTGCCCTCGAAGCTCGATCCTTTGCTTGTTGTTCCCCGTTCCATGCCATGTTGCTCGAACCTCCATGCTCTCGTTTGTGTCCGCAACCCCTGCCTGGGTCCATTCTGCTACATAGGCTCGCCACGGGTCAATGTTCGGCAGTCCCAGGGCATGGAACGTGCCCCCCCCGTAGGCCGGAAACTGCGAAATCACTCGTCGACCCCCCTCCACCGCTGGAAACTTGTGTTTTTCTGTTCTGCCGCCTGACATGTTGTGGCGCCTCGACGTCCCCTGGTGTGTGTGTGTGTGTGATTGTTGACAATGTCCACTGCCAAGTCGCCTCAGCAACGACCGGCCGCCCCGGCCACTCCTGCCGAAGCTCTTCGTGTGGTGAAAGCCCTCCCCCCTCCACCCGCTTTCCGCGGCCGCCATCCGCTTCCCTTCGGTGGCTCAAAGATGGGGTCCTGAGGGATGGGGTCCTGAGAATAATCAGGAAGGGATCGAAGGGTGGATTTACATTGTTTTGAAGCTTGTGGGTGCCACGACAATGGACACCCTAACAATCCTATCATTGAACATAAAATGTGTTGATTATGTCGGGCGAATATTCTAAACATAACATGCATAACACATGTTTTAGACATCTGGAATTTTGTTTGGCAACATGTTTCCTCTCCGTTGATCGCCCTCCACAGTTTTAGGCATCCTCAGGCCCCCATCTTTGACCCGCCGAGCCTTCCCTCCCTCGCCCCGCCAGACAATCAACTGTTTGATCCGCGGGTCGAGATCGCACCTCTTCCGGTCGAAGCTAAGCGGGCCGCGCGAAGCTTGAATTAATCAGAGATGGGGGAAGAGAAGGGGGGCGCAGCCTCAGAACGAGGCCGGGAGGAGGCAAAGCCTCGGAATCAGGCGGTGCCGAAGCCGACGTACTTGCAAAGGGGCGCCTTCTCCATGAACCCACCAGACAATCAGCACGCCATGCCCCGGGCTGCTGGTGGATCGCGCGTGCGGCCTGCCCCCGGCGCGCCGCGTGCAACAAAAAAAACACATGTCCGACAGGGACCTCGAAAGGAACCCGGCCGTGGCCGCAGGGGCGCTCCGAGGGGAGGTCTAAAGAAGCCCGCCAGCATTCGTGACCCTCGACTTGCGCTGCTCCCATCGTACAGTCCAAAACCCTGATAAGGACGCACGGTATGGACGCAAGACCCTTGGAAGCCGAAGTTGGGATTTTTGGGGCGGCGGACGACGAAAACCCCAAGGACGCAAGAGCAAGGAAGAGCAAGGACGCAAGGGTACCCTGAGCAAAGTCGCGCGTCCTGCTTAGGGTTTTTGACTGTACTCGAGGACCACTTCCCAGAAATAACTTCGAGCACCCCGAAAACTGTCGAAAGGGTGTCGAAACAGTGCTGGACGAGTGTCTCCCCGGGCCCGACACGTGAGAGCCCTCGAGTTTCGGTACTTTTCTGGTGCTCGAAATTTTGTCGGGTGAAGAATGCTAAGTAGGTTGGAACATCATAACCATCGACTTAAAATACTCGACCCCCTTTGCTCAAGCCGTTCCAGGGAGCCCAAGACTACTGCAGTACTCCTGAAGGCCGCGTAAATGAACATGCCCCTCCAGTCCTGGAGGCCACCCTCATGTGACGGAAGTGCTCGCGTGAGCGCGCCTTCTTGAGGCCGTGTGCATTCACGCGCGCGGTCGTCTTCGATCCGCTCCCGAGACGCCATCTTTAATGAGGACCCCTGCGCTTCAAGCTTCGGGCCTCCTTCAATGAAGACGCGTTTCGCCTCTTGACGGCTGCGGCCACATATTGCTCGCTGTGAAGCGATGCTTGACAAGGTCGTGCAAATGCAAGCGAGGACAACGGCAAACAAATCGTGCCCCTCGAATCTTCGATGGCAACACATGGGAGCCTCCCTCAAAATCTTGTTGGCTCTCGCGCGTCGAAGCTAATCGACGCTACTCGACGCCAACACTAAATCGACGCCCATCGACGCTATATCGGCGCTCTCATAGACTACCAGACGCCAGTCGACGCCAGTACACTCTAAACACTGAAATGCGAAGGTGCACAAGGACCCCAGGAATTGCTACCGAGTAGTCTCACTCGCAGCATGTGTCGGCGACTCGGAAAGGGGTGGTCTACAACACAGGGTGTGCTTGGCCCCGAGGCGGCTCCACGAGGACGGTGCCGTGCCCCCCGGGCCCCAGCGGCGCCGATCGCAAACCACGCCCTGGCGAAACCACACCCGTTTGGACAGGCGCGTTCCACGACTCGCAAATCAACTACTCGCAAATTGCTTGGATCCGCGGCGGGGGATTTACGATGTATCACACAGAGGAAGACCTGCATATTTCGGACGATTGCGAGTAGACACTTTGCGAGTGGTGGAATGCGCCCGGCGACCTTTGTAGCCTCGGGAGCGGCCAAGAGGGGGGTGTCCGAGGGGGGGGGTGCAAATCAGGACCGGCGGCATGTGCGCGGCCCAGCGGGGACGCCAGGGACGTAATTAATCAAATGAGAAGAGGCGCCACGAAATCTGGGGAAATATCATGGCCCCAGCCATGATATCCCCCCCCCAAGTTTTAAGTCGGGCCTGTCCCCCTACAGGCCGATTTTGGGCGAAGAAAATTAAAAATACCCCAAACATACCCCGCAAATGCTCAAAAAATAGTCCCCCGACTATTTTTTTACTATTCCCCCGGCTATGTTTGGACTATGTTTGAATACCCCCCTGTAATTAGAGGGACACGCCCGACTTCAGCCTGGTCATCACCCCCCTCTTTGCCGCCCCCGATGGCCGCCGAGCGTGGCTCGGGTCGGGCCAAAGGGGGGATAGCAAAGTGGGGGTTTGAGAACCAGCTCACGTGGCTGATTTTCCCGGCGCCTCCCGGCGCCGGGAGGCGGCCACGTATCGAGGAACGGGCCCGGCGGCGGGGCCGAAACCAGCTGCATGCAGCAGATTTCGTATCTCCCCCTTCCCCAATTCGGGAGCGGCCAAGAGGGGGGTGTCCAAGAGGGGGGGGTGCAAATCATGGCCGGCGGCATGTGCGCGGCCCAGCGGGGGGGCCGGGACCGTATTGAAATAAGAAGAGGCGCCACGAAGTCTGGGGAAATATCATGGCCCCCGCCATGAGATCCCCCCACCCCAAGTTTTAAGTCGGGCCTGTCCCCCTACAGGCCGATTCTGGGCGAAGAAAATTAGAAATAATACCCCAAACATACCCCGCAAATGCTCCAAAAATAGTCCCCCGCCATGATATCCACCCCCCCCTAGTCATCACCCCCCTCTTTTCCGCCCCCGACCAATCCCCCCCTTTCGCCCGACCCCGTCATCACCCCCCTCTTTGCCGCCCCCGCTGGCCGCCGAGCGTGGCAGGGCCTGCGCCCCCCGAGGGCCCTCCTCCTCCTCCTCCTCCTCCTCCTCCTCCTCCTCCTCCTCTCTCCTCCTCCTCCTCCTCCTCCTCTCTCCCTCCTCCTCTCCTCCTCCTCCTCCTCCTCCTCCTCCTCCTCCTCCTCCTCCTCCTCCTCCTCCTCCTCCTCCTCCTCCTCCTCCTCCTCCCTCTCTCCTCCTCCTCCTCCTCCTCCTCCTCCTCCTCCTCCTCCTCCTCCTCCTCCTCCTCCTCCTCCTCCTCCTCCCTCCTCCTCCTCCTCCTCCTCCTCCTTGAGGGTCCTTCAGGACCGGGACGTCGCTCAGCAGGCCGCCGCCGAGGAGCGCCTGCCCCGTGGCGCGGCCCAGGCCCCGCCCGAGGCGCTCGGCCTCCGCGGCGTCGCCCCACAGGGCGCTGAGCGCGGACGCGGCGCCAGAGCCGAGGACGCTCTCCTCAAAGGGTTTTTGTTGGCGTGGCCACCAGGAGGAGGAGGAGGAGGAGGAGGAGGAGGAGGAGGAGGAGGAGGAGGAGGAGGAGGAGGAGGAGGAGGAGGAGGGGGAGGAGGAGGAGGAAAGAGGAGGAGGAGGAGGAGGGGGAGGAGGAGGAAGAGGAAGAGGAGGAGGAGGATGAATCATAACAATAGTAATACGATGTGGCACACCAGAAGCAGTAGCCACCGTCAGGCCCTGTGCGCCATGCGCACGGCAACCCAAACGAAAAAACGCCTCGAGCCTATTCAAACAGGTGGCCGGGGAGGGAACCTGGACGGGGCGCGAGGCGACAGCGAACGCGCAAATCTCTCCACGCTCACCTCGAAGGGGCCCAGAGGGACACACGTGCATCGAAACACCTTCCAGGATGTCCCACATGCTTCCATGTGTCCCAGCTTTTCCTCCTCCCCTCCATGTCCCATCTGCTCCCACAGTTCCCTGACAAGCAGCGCGTGTTTGTGCTTGTGCCCATTTTTCCCTCCTCACTCCTTCGGGCGCAGGCATAACGTCTCGGAGGTCCGTGCGGACCTCCTGGATCGGCGCATGCCCGCCTGGCGGTGCCTCCGGCACCGACCCTGGCGCGCTCCCATCCAAAGAAATCCGCGCGGACCTCCGAAAGCGTAAGTATGTGTCGCTTGCTTTCGTTCGATAAGAGGGGGGGGGGCAGGAGTAGAGGGGTGGCGCCTCACGGCCTGAGGCATGCGAGCGGACGAGGGTGAACAAGGGAGCGCCCTGAAAGAAGGAAAGGGCAACGTGGAACCTGGGGACGGCTCCTGGCCCCAGCCATGATGCCCACAGTCCTGATCATCGCCTCCTTCTTGGACGGGGCCGACACGCAAACAAATAGACGCAAATACCAGGACTCCCCATAGTTTCCCATATTTTCTGGGTTGTTGTCTTCCCCCCCGCTTCCCAGATTTTCCCATATCTTCTGGGGAAGCGACGATGCATTGTCTCTGTGTGTTTGTTCCCCGCCTACCTTTTGGGCGCATCTCCGGACCACGGATGCTGGCCCAGCCTGGCCCAGCCCATCCCCAGGACCAGGATAATGTCGGGCGTGTCCCCCTACAAGGGGGTTTTCGACGAAAAATAAGAAATACACCAAAAATACCCCAAGAAGGTAAAACAATATTCAAAAAAATAGTCCCCGGACTATTTTTTGAGTTTTTTGTTTGACTATGTTGGGGGCATTTTAAATGTTTTCGTCGAAGATCCCCCTGTAGGGGGACGGGCCCGACTTACGACCAGGAGCCGCACGCGCGCGCCGCGCGCCCGCCCCCCTGGTCTCCGCGCCGCTCCCGGGTCCAGGGCTGGGCCGGCCAGGGCGGTGGGCGCAAACAGAAACTCGGCACCGCCACACCGTGCGGAGCGGAGGTCGGTCGGGGGCGGGGCGCGAGAGGGCGGTGGCAGTTCAGTTCAGTTCCGTTGGGGCCTCCTCCTCCTCCTCCTCCTCCTCCTCCGCCTCCTCCTCCTCCGCCTCCTCCTCCGCCTCCTCCTCCTCCTCCTCCTCCTCCTCCTCCATCAGCCCAGAATACTTGCACGCTAAGCTGCTCTGCGCTCGCACACTGCGCCGGAGCACGCGCTGGCCACTCTTGCAGGGCGGTGGCCTCTCGAGGTGGCGGGGGGGGGGGCTTCCCGGGAGGGGGGCGACCTCTCGGGAGGGGGGATGCCCCCCTCCCTCCCTCGCCACTGCCGTGCCTTCTGTGGCTCCCAAGGACCACATCCCAGAAACAACCTTGGGCACCCAGAAGAGTGTCCAGAGAGTGCCGAAAGAGTGCCGAAAGAATGCCCCCCAGGGGCCCGACACGTGAACTCCCCCAAGTTTCGGTACTTTTTCTGGAATACTCGAGATTCTTGCTGGTGGGGACATCCTAAGCCCTGCCCCCTCTTCTGCTCGCGTCGGGCGAAAAGGGGGGCAGCTACGCACTCCCAGGGGGTGGTACTGCAACGGTGGGCGGCGAAGCAGCTCGCGTCGCACCCATGCGTCGAGGAACGCGCACGGCGGCGGGGCCGAAGCCAGCTGCATGCAGCAAGTGTCGCACCTCCCCCGAAGTCCCCCCCGATCTTCGGGCGGGTGGTAATGGCAAGGCCCTTTTCTCACTACACCGACCTTGCAAAACGTGCTGCAGTGGAGTTTCGCGCGGATTCCTGTCATTGCAAGACCCCGAATCGGCAAGCGAAAAGCGGAGTCAATTTCACGTGGATGCTTTGTAGCCTTGACTCCAAGCCAGAAGAAATCCGCGCGAAATTCACATCGAAATCCAGAACGACATTCTCCCGGACAATCTGGGCCCATCCCGCTGCTTTCCGAACGCGGTCCGCCCTGCGAAGTTGGGCCACGCCCCCTGGATCCGTGTGTTGCCATCGCCTGATGCGTGGGGGATGGAGCCGAGGGCCCCCTCGAGGGTCCGTTCTTCCACCCCTCCTTTCAGGGGGACGTAAGACCTGGGTACAGGGGACTCGGAAATCCCCGACGAGGTCGTCAAAAAAATGACGAGGCCGAGCCTGCATTTTGACGAGGCCTCCCGCTGCAGACATCCCGAGAAACTCCTCCTCGTCAAAACCCGAGGCGCGGCCGCCAGAAAACGATGGCGAACCCGAGTCCTGGCAAACCCGGGTCTTACGCTCCCCCGGTCCTTGCACTCCCCCCCCGCTGCCAACCGCCCGAAGTCTCCGTGCCCCGCCGCTCCTCCCGATAGCCCGCCCACAGCGCCGCGGCCGTGGCGGCGTCGCCCGCCAGCAGGTGCCCCAGCGACATGCAGCCCGTGAGGGCCTCGTGGAGCAGCGGCAGCTTGACCATGCCGGTGACCGTGACGGGCGGGCTGCCCGCCGCGGCCGCCATGGCTGGCGGGTCGGGCGGGTCCGGCGGGCCCGAGGCGGGCGGGCCGCTCCAGCCAGGGCAGATGATTGCGGACTCCTCCTCCTCCTCCTCCTCCTCCTCCTCCTCCTCCTCCTCCTCCTCCTCGTTCTCCTCCTCCTCCTCCTCCTCCTCGTTCTCCTCCTCCGCGTCCTCCGGCTCCCCCCCCCCTACAGCTCCCCCTCTTCCCTCATCTCTCTCCTCCTCGCTTCTTCCCCCCTCCTCCTCCCCCTCCACCCAGGCCCTTCTTCCCCATCTCCCCAGCCCCACGTCGCTGGAGGAGGAGACGGTAGCAAGGCGTGGAAGAGGGAAGAGGAGAAGGGGGAGGTGGAAGACAAGGATGACCGAGAGGAGAGCAGGAAGAGAAGGAGAAGGGGGCGGACCAGCAGAAAGGGGAACGGACGATGTTTCCCCAAGGCCTCCCAAGGGCCCCCCGTGTTAAGCCTCACGTCATCGCCACCTGGCACAATCCGCAATTTTCCGAGCCAGTCTCCAGAAATGCTCAAACACATTTTGGACAGTGGACACACCTCCCTTTAGTAAACCTCTCCTTCGTGAAAGCGGCCTGGGAGCGAAACCGACGGACCTGGACCCGCAAAAATGACGGCCGCGACGCCCTCTCGCGAACCGAATACGGCCAATTCCTGAATCGACGTGTCAGGGTAGGAGGTCTGTCCACCCCCGACATTTCCGCAACGAGAAGCATGCCGAAGTCGGTGCCGTCGCCGTCGCCCGGGCACTACTATGGGACAGCCCCCTGCGGCCCTGGGAGGCCCCCGTACATAGGCATCCAGAGGCCTCCAGAAGCTCACGACATGCTCAGACGCAGCAGCCCTCGACCCTCGAATATCGATCCTCGTTGACGACGACGACGACGCCCCCGCCGCCCCTGGAGGCATCGTGGGGTTTCCAGGGGGCTGCCAGGGCTCCCGGCGGCAGCCGACGACTGCCCACGCCGACGACAGCGACCGACGACGCACGTGTGACGAACGACGACGACGACGACGACGACGACGACGACGACGACGACGACGACGACGACGACGACGACGACAACGACGACGACGACGACGACGACGACCCTCGTCAGGGTCCTCGACGGTGCGCAGCGCCCGACGCAGCGAGTCCTCGCGGGACTGCCAGATGTCGCGGCACAGGGCGCCGATCGCCTCGCCCAGCCCAGCTTCGCCGCCGCCGCCGCTGCCAGCGGTGCCGCCACCGTCTCGGAGGCTCTCGGGCGCCTCCCGCATGACCTATGGAGAACTGGCAGCGTCGCCACGGCTGGACGCGGCTCGGGAAACTGGCTGTCGATCAGAGGAGCAAGAGGTCATGATAACGATACGCTTCAAGATTTCCAATTCGCCTGGCGAAAGACCCAACCATATGCAGTTGTGAGTACCGCAATTGTGAATATCCTCTTCGGTAGCGCTCTCTATGGGGCCACGGAGCGCTGTACTGGGTGGGTGAAGCGCAGGGAGCAGGGGCCGTGTTGGGTGGTGGCGGACGCTTGCGGGCGGTGCCACTGGGACCTTCCGTGGAGCTCCCTATGGGGCCACGAAGCGCTGTACTGGGTGGGTGAAATGCAAGGAGCAAGGGCTGTGCTGGGTGGTGGCGGACGCATGCGGGCGGAGCCACTGGGACCTTCGGTGGAGCTCCCTATGGGGCCACGAAACGCTGTACAAGGTGGGTGAAACGCAGGGAGCAAGGGCCTTGTTGGGTGGGTGCTGGGTGGTGGCGGACGCATGCGGGCGGTGCCACTGGGACCTTCGGTGGAGACCCCCATGGGGCCACGAAGCGCTGTACTGGGTGGGTGAAACGCAAGGAGCAATGGCTGTACTGGGTGGTGGTGGACGCATGTGGGCGGTGCCACTGGGACCTTCGGGGGGCCCCCATATAGGGGCAACGGAACGCGGTACTGGGTGGGTGAAACGAAAAGGAGCAATGGCTAGACTTGCTGGTGGCGGACGCATGCGGGCGGTCCCACTGGCGGCTTCGGTGGAGCTCCCTATGGGGCCACGAAGCGCTGTGCTGGGTGGGTGAAACGCATGGAAGAAGGAGGAGGGAGGGGAGGAGGGGGAGGAGGGGGAGGATGAGGAGAGCAGAAGAACAGAAGAGGAACGCGGGGACCGTCTCTTCAAAACGAGGACCCAACACCACAGGATGGTTGGGAAACAGTGTCCCTTGATTCCCAGATGTTCCACACGGGCTGCAGAAACAATGGCCGCATTGAACTCCTGGACCGCATCCTGAGCCAATCGTGTCACGGCATACTTCCCGTGGGGCCCGTGGAAGCTGGCTTGCTGGCCGCGCGACCGCTGCGGTTGTCGTCCAACATCGTGGTCCTCTTCCCCCCGTCCGCCCTGCGTTCCCGTCCAACCTTCGCGTCGCTCCCCCCATTCCACGGCGTGGCGCACAAATGGAGACAAGGGCAAGGGGGGGGGGAAGAATGAGCAGGGATGCGGGAGGCGTGGCTACAGGGGGAGGGGCTCTCTCCCCCCGTCTTTCTTCTTCTCTTCTTCCTCCTCCTCCTCCTCCTCCTCCTCCTCCTCACCCTCTTCCCTCCTCCCTCCTCCCTCCCCCTCCTCCTGCTCCTCCTCCTCCTCCTCCCCCTCCTCCTCCTCCTCCTCCGCCGGAAACCAGCGCCTCCGCAAGAAGAAGCACGTCAGGCGAGGACGTGGACTTCAAGGCCCGAGGGCCTCCTCACGTCCAGGTGCTCGCGGCAGGGGGCTGGTGCGGAGCAGCTCGCACGGTGGCCGAGGGCGAGGTAGAGACGAGGGTTGTGGATGCCATGACAATGGACACTCTAACAGTCCTATCAATGAGTTAAATCTATGTTTAAACTGTGTAGAACATGTTCTGAACATGTTTCTAACTTTTAACAGCATTAAACCATATGTGACTTTCAGACATCTGGGAATTATTTGGCAGCATGCTTCCTCTCCATTAATCGACTTCCACCAGACGAGGGTCAAGGAGGAGACCAATCAGAAGATGTTGAAGGCGATGTGGAACGGCAAGATCTGCAAGACCACGGTCCTCGAGATGGCGCGTGCGGCTCCCTAAAGCCGCCTCAAAGCTCACAAGGAATCCTGGGGCAAGCCTCTGAGAGCGACGCTGCCCATGTGCTTCAACAAAGAAGCGATCCTGGGGCAGGCCTTGGCGGAGCTGATGGAGGCCCTCGTGATTCTCGAGAGGGGAGTGCTCCTCCCAGGCCCAGCCCCGCGGGGGCCATTCGAGAGAAAGGTCAGCAAGTGGCTCGGCAGAGCAGTACGAGTGAATCCCTCGCTCAATCAGATCGTCTCAGGCAGCTGATGGCGAGAGGACTTTTGCCCCCCAAACATTAGGGTCCTGCACCCCATCGCCGTCGACGACCAGGAGTTCGTTTTCATGCTTTGAGCAAGAGGAGGAGGAGGAGGAGGAGGAGGAGGAGGAGGAGGAGGAGGAGGAGGGGGAGGAGGAGGAGGAGGAGGAGGAGGAGGAGGAGGAGGGAGGAGCATGAGGCCCTGCCTGCAATTCCAACATTTGTTGTGCCTCCGCCGCCAGCGGGAAGGGGACGGGGCCGTGGTCGTGGGAGGGGCGCTCGGTCGTGGACGGAGGGGGGGCACCGAGCCCGCCTCGCAGCGCCTGCTGCGCGGGGGACAGGAGTGCGGGCCGGGCCAGTGCCGCGCGCGGTGGAGGGCTGCGCTCACAGTCTCGGCAGGTGGCGTAGGCACAAAAACTCTGAGTCCGAACTCTGCTTCAGATCCGCGAGTTGGTTGATGTGGAAAGACGGCGGTAGCGCAGTCGCAGCTCAGCTGGACCCCGTGCTTTTCCAGGAGGGTCCTCTCTGCTGTAATGTCTGCTGCTATGCGTGCTACCGTCCATAATCACTGTTGGTGCCAATTGTTGCTGACAGGATTCCAGGATCTCCAAAGCAATCCAATCGTCCTCCTCCTCCTGCTCCTCATCCTCCTCCTCCTCCGCTCCTCCCTCGATCACCTCCTCCTCCTCCTCCTCCTTCTCACACTTTACGGAGATCAGGATGGCCGCTCCGTGAGGTAGGGAAGAAATGCCCCTCAGGATCTTGCAGCACGTCTGTGAGGCTCCTGTCGAATCCAAAGTACGGTCCACCGCCCACATCGCTGGGTGTCGGGGGGTGCAATGTATTTAGCCCCGGCGGTAGACGGACACCTCTTCCCTGGATCGCCGCATTCAACCTCCCACACCTGATGCAGGACTATTCCGGGTCTTACTCCTTTACGTACACACGCGCCCAAGCATGCTGTTTGACAAATAGCTCTGTGCCCATCCGTTCCTCACAAGTAACTCATCCTCGTCTGACCACTGGACATGTCGGTAGGGCGGGCCGAGCGTTTCGGCTGATGACCCCGACGCTTGAACATTCCAGCAATTACATGGATGGAGCGGTGGTGGTGTTCAGAATGTGGCCTTCGCCTTAACGCCACAGGTCCATGAAAACTTCCGGCGGACAAACGAATGGGGTGCGGGTCGTTTTCGCCTTGGCGCCTCAAGCACTCCACCTGAGCGTTTCCAAGATTTGCACGGACGGAGGAGGGGTCGTGTTCAAAATGTGGCTCTCTGAATCTAGGGGAACAAAAAATGGCATAAACATAAAAACTCTGAGATCCGCGCGGATTTCTCGGATCGGCGCTGGACCCCCCTCCCCGGCGCGCGGAACGCGCCAGGGGCGGCGCCGGAGGCGCCGCTGGGGGGGCCCAGCGCCGATCCGAGAAATCCGCGCGGACCTCCGAGTTTTTATGTTTATGCCACTTTTTGTTCCCCTAGAGTTAGCGCTGCGCACACTCGTGCTTGAAAGGTTCCAGCGGTTACCACGTGGACGGGGAGGTGGTTTCGATTTCGTGGCTCTCGCCCGAGGGCCGCGCGCATACGACCCAGAAGGATCCCAGCGGTTGCAAGCAGAAGTACTCCTTCTCGTAACGCGTCCCTCGCCTGAGCGCCGCGAGCATTCGTATCAACAGCTCCCAGTCGTGAAACGGGTGGAGGCGAGAGTGGTTCCCAAATGGTGGCCCTCG